CGGTTGAAAACAAAACTTTACGTCAAAAGAGATGATTTCAGCTAACCAATTGTGAACTTTCCATTTGTATTTATCAACATTCCAGCATCGCCTGTATACGGAGTATATATCTCCCAATTAATACGATATTCCCGGGCTTGACATGTATTTCCTATCATGATTTCTTTGATAGAGGGTTGCTGCTCACAAGGAACCTATTAAACCAAGAGTTCCAAATGGTGAAGTTGAAATCATCCCTGATCATGAGCAACACGACGGGTGTCACATGTGAAGTAGGATCTGCTAACCCTTCCGAAGCACATAAGATCACCCCCAGTTTTTGGTGGTGTTGGTGTTGCTAAATCTTTAGTTTTCTATGTTTTGTCTTGTGTACTATTATTTGTCTGTTTTTCCTTTTCTTTTTTAGCCATGGCGTTGTCAGTTTATTTTCGATCTATGAGTTTGAATGTCCCTCTGGTATCCTTCGCCTCTCTTTTTTAACATGATCATGTACAGTAATGTAGTGGTGACCTGAGGTAACCTGACCATGTACAGTAAGGCAGTGGTGAGCTGAGATAACCTGAAAATATTAGTGTTTTTTAAAGCTGACATGAGGTTACATGACCATGTTTGGTCAAACAGGTGAACTGAGGTAACCTGACCATTTAAGTAATACAGAGGTGACTTGAGGGTAGCTGGAAATATCTTTGCTTTGTATAGCTGACCTAGGGTAACCTGACCATGAATGGTATTGCAGTAAGGACCTGGGGTAACCTGAATATATATGTGTATTCAGAATACCAAATGTCACCTTAGCAATACATATATATATCCAGGTTACCCCAGGTCATCACTGCAATACCATACAAAAAAAAAGTAAAATCACAAAAATACTGAACCCCGAGATAATTCAAAACGGAAAGTCCCTAATCAAATGGCAAAATGAAAAGCTCAAACACATCAAACGAATGGATAACAACTTTCATATTCCTGACTTGGTACAGGCATTTTCTTATGTAGAAAATGGTGGATTGAACCTTGTTTTATAACTAGCTAAACCTCTCAAAGTCAGGTTACCCCAGGTCATCACTGCAATACCATAGAAAGTCAGGTTACCCCCAGGACATCACTGCAATACCATACATGGTCAGGTTATACAAGATCAGCTTTACAAAGCATAGATATTTCCAGCTAACCTCAGGTCACCGCTGTATTATTGTACATGGTCAGATTACCTCAGGTCACCTCTGTATCACTGAACATGGTCAGGTTACCTCAGATCACCTCTGTATTAATGTACATGATCATGTTACCCCAGGTCAGCTTTACAAAACAGAAATATTTCCAGGTTAACTACAATGCTGTCAGCTTTACAAAACACTAATATTTGCAGGTTAACTCAGGTCACCACTATTTTACTGTACATGGTCAGGTTAGTTCAGATCACCACAATAATACTGTACATAGATATAGGAAGTTGTGGTATGAGTGCCAATGCGACAACTCTCCATCCAAGTAACAATTTATAAAAGTAAACCATTCTAGGTGAAGGTATGGCCTTCAACACGCAGCATTGGCTCACACCGAACAGCAAGCTATAAAGGGCCCCAAAAAATTACTAGTGTAAAACCATTCAAACGGGAAAACCAACGGTCTAAACTATATAAAAACGAGAAACGAGAAACACGTATGAAATACATAAACAGACGACAACTACTGTACATCAGATTCCTGACTTAGGACAGGTGCAAACATTTGCAGCGGGATTAAAAGTTTTAATGGTACCAAACCTTCTCCCATTTCTGAAACAATAGTATAACATCACAACATAGAAAGACACACTATAAAATATCAATTAGAAGGCTTAACTCAATCAAAAAACGTAAATTTACACACAATGAACGAATAAATTTGATCTGTGATACCTGAATGCAGACAAACAGACAATAAAAATTATAAGGGATAAATAATTAAGGTCAAAAGTAAATAAACAGGTTGAAACAAAGTCAAAGTATAATAACACTGTGAAATGCCAAACAATATTCAGAAAATCATCACTTTTGAAAAAACCTGAGTCATATTATACACAGGTAAATGAAAATAATTGTGTTGTTAAATATACTTCTTCTTCTGTGTGTATAAAATCTTCCGTTTAGGAATACCAAGAAATTTATTTAATATCAATAAAACTAATTTAACACTTGGTACATATGGGGTGAATATCAACAATAAAACTATACAATAAGTGCTATAGATAAAACTTCCTGTACAGGTGCAAGAATTTAAGGAGAAATGAAATAATTTTGATGTTCATAGTACGAAGAAGTAAAAATTTGTAGTAATACCAAATAATCAAAGCTGGTATATAGACAAGATCCATGTTAACATTAAATAACAAAAAAAGCATTACAAATAGTATCAACAGGTCAAATTAAAAAGAAAGTACGATTTGAGAGTACTCGCAGTTACTGACAGCTAGTTAAAAGCCAAAACAATTAATAATAAAACATCATGCATCAGAGACTGAAATCAACTAAAACACATCCCAGGGATTTAGTATTAACAGTCAAAGAAGACATGACTTGTGCAATGCCAAAAATAAATGTATCGACAGGTAGTAGGATAGTTAGGAGTGACTTCTGTATAGATAAAAATGAACGTGTGTGTGTCTCTATACATCCCGTTTGAAAAGAAAATACAAATTTAGTTATGTTTTAATTTGCTAATGACAAAATCGATATTAGTGCCAATGTAAACTATATTCAGAGATCTAATTACAACATTGGTACGATAACCCTTACTAATAAGTTTGTTTAAAGGTTCGATGAGTTTACACGGATCACATAGTGATTTCAGCGCTTTAAGTACAATATTACCGTAAAATGTAGGATGTGATATACCATTTTTAATAAGTTTTCTACAGGTACAGCCAAATTTACTCAATGTACTATTCTTTAATTACGGGGGTTACCTGAGGTCACCCAAAAAAACACACAAAATACAACCAATTCATCTCAAATAAACTCAGTTCACCTTAACAAATACATAACATAAACAATACAAAGTCAAAGAAGTCCTACATTTAAAATGAAGAAATTAGTTAATTACAGCATAATTATATACCCTACCATTGTATCTATTATCCTTTCATTACAGGGGTACCTGAGGTCACCAAAAAAACTGAACAACTATAACCCATTTAACTCAAATTAACTCAGGTCACCATGACAAATACATTACATGAACAATACAACGTCCATGAAGTCCTACATTTAGAATGTTAGAATGAAGAAATTAGTTTATTAAAGCATAATTATATACCCAAGCATTGTATCTATTATTCTTTCATTATAGGGGTACCTGAGGTCACCCTCCCCCCCCCCCTCCAAAAAAAAAATATAACCCATATTTAACCTGACCATGTACAGTAATACAGAGATGACCTGGGGTAACCTGAAAATATTTCTGTTTTGTAAAGCTGACCTGGGGTAACATGATCATGTACAGTAATACAGAGGATACCTGAGGTAACCTGACCATGTTCAGTGATAAAGAGGTGACCTGAGGTAACCTGACCATGTACAGTTATACAGAGGTGACCTGAGGTTAGTTGGAAATATCTATTATTTGTAAAGCCGATCTTGGGTAACCTGACCATGTATGGTATTGCAGTGATGACCTTGGGTAACCTGACTTTGTATGGTATTGCAGTGATGACGTGGGGTAACCTGACTTTGAGAGGTTTAGCTAGCTATAAAACAAGGTTCAATTCACCATTTTTTACATAAGAAAATGCCTGTACCAAGTCAGGAATATGACAGTTGTTATCCATTCGTTTGATGTGTTTGAGCTTTTGATTTTGCCATTTGATTAGGGACTTTCCGTTTTGAATTTTCCTCAGTATTTTTGTGATTTTACTTTTTTAGTATGGTATTGCAGTGATGACCTGGGGTAACCTGAATATATATATGTATTGCTAAGGTGACATTTGGTAATCTGAATACACATATATATTCAGGTTACCCCAGGTCCTTACTGCAATACCATTCATGGTCAGGTTACCCTAGGTTAGCTTCACAAAGCAAAGATATTTCCAGCTAACCTCAAGTCACTTATGTATTACTTAAATGGTCAGGTTACCTCAGCTCACCTCAGTTTGACTAAACATGGTCCGGTTACCTCAGGTCACCGCCGTATCACTGTACATGGTCATTTTACCCCAGGTCAGCTATACAAAAACTAATATTTTCAGGTTACCTCAGGTCACCCATTGGTCGATCCAGCCCCCCTTCGGTAATCACTAAAGCATGACTGTAGCGGGCCTATTAAGGCAGTCAGTAGCCTACCACCCCCTCCCTTTATAAAAAGTTCTGGATCCGCCACTGTCACCACTCTATTACTGTACATGGTCAGCTAACCTCAGGTCACCATTGCATTACCTAAACGGTCAGGTCATTTTAACAATTTTATTTTTCCTGAAAATCCTATTTTAATTTTACCATCCACTCCCAGTCAACACGCACACATAAGATAAATGATCGGTGCCGTAGGTATGAAAATAATTAAATCGCCTGGCAATTTGGTTCACATCTTTGGTATTTAGTCATATTAAAATTTGGTATTAAGATTGATCCAAATAGGGAACTATATTTACGTGCGAATTAATCGATGACAAATTCCCCCGGTTACCTGAGGGCACCTATTACCTGTCCTACATCAGCGGACCTTTTATCCACCTGCTACTACAACCGGAAACTACATATGACATATACTATTGGTATCGGTATCGGATTCCACCCGGAACTTATTAATTATTGGTAATATTAATTAAATGGAAAACAAACTGGCCTGGAATGGTGTATTTTTTAATCAACACTATTGTCCTTTATTAGTTACATATACAGTTTAATTATTTGATTCGTCGTTTTACGTCATGCCGGCTAACAAATTGGACCTCGTTATTTTAGAGGTATAGATACCCACACAAGGTAGCCTTGATAAAATAAAACGTTTTGAACAGCTACCATTTGATGATTTATTGTGTAGTGAGGAACAATACAACTAATAATTCATATACTACTGACAACAGTTGAAAGAAAGTTACTACTTATTATTACCGCCAATGCAGTTTGGTTTTTATTAAAGGGACATTAGCTGTCAATTGATTTGACCCAAATTCTAATACTTTATTTATAACATACTAAAACGTATATCCAAATTACTTTAGGTCCAAAAGAAACAATTAACAAAACATGGGCTCGTTACAATGTATCAGCATCCCGTGTGTATTTTAGAACAGACGCCATCTTATTATCCATCGCGATTTCCTCCGAAGACTGCCGACGATCATGTAACCCGATATACATGTAAATATGAATATAAACATGTAGCGAGCACGTGCAATGGGATTTTTTAGCTTATTTTGACAAAGTTGAACCAAACTGACTACTAGAAGCAAAATATCATTTCTTTACTGCTAGTTGTATTTTATTTGTTTGTCGAATTCGTAGCTAATGCCCTTTTAAATCATTATTGTTTAATGTTGTTCTTGGTAAATGACGGTTAAAATGTTCTCAGAAATGTTATATACTTTTACACGGAATAATTGATATTTGCTGTTTCAGTTAAAATTGGTCTTAATTCCTCTCCATCAGATCTTTTGCAACATTTGCAACACAATTTTTTGTAGAGATGATGTCTAGTAGTCTTATCTAAGAAGCAAAATAAAATACACGTGCAAAACGCCTGCGCACTGTCTCCAAAACTTTGGAAATGTAGAAATACATCATCTGTAGTGTCAAAATGAGACAGGGGATTTCCAGTATGCCGTCTTAACGCATACAAGAAAAATCGACATGTTCCCCATATTCTGAGACAGTATCCGATCAGCCATAGGTAGAGATAACTTTCATCTTCGACTCTCAGTCGCTCTGATACCTCACTGAAATGACGTCGATTGTGTCTTCGTCTCTATGAAATAAAAATAGTTTTTGTTATCAACTAGATTATTGAATATTAGCACATACACTAGTATAATTAAAAAAAATCAGTTGCAATGGCTGAACTCAATAGATCGGTACGAAGCACAAAAATACAAATAAAATTAAAAACCAATTGTTAAGAGAACAATTGAATGTCTTTCCACTCGAAACGATATATTTTGATATGAAAATATTAAAGTCCTGTTTAAAATGCCATTTCCAGTGTCAGATGATAGCTTACTGTACGCTGGTTCCAAAAATATATGGTTTCTATACATTTTTGTTTGAAATGAGAGATATACTTTGTTACTTCCGTTACTTTGTTAATACAAAGAATAGCTACTTCCGGTCACATCCGGTTTTGCTTTTTCAAGGTCATATAGTTTGCAACCTAATGCAAAACGTCCTATGGCTTTATCAAGTATAAATATGAAATTAAAGCAAAGGTCATAATCTAGAACGTCAAATTTACCTATGACCTTGACCTCAATTTCAAGGTCATCAAGCAAGGACCTTATATCAAAAGACCTTAGGTATTTACTATGTATTGTTAATAAGTTATATTACCATACATCTTATTTTTAACATTCCAGGGGAGAAAAATCCTACTAAATGTTACAGCACCGCTTCAAAGAAAAATTTCCTATTATGACAGATCGCAACTAACAATTTAGTGAAAATTTTTTGTCGACATATATTACAGTTTCTTAGGAGTAGCATGCACAAGCAAAAGGAAAGAATTAAAACATGACTTTGACTATTGACCTTGACCTCATCTTTTTATGTGGACTTAGGACCTCAAATCAAAAGCTAGGTCTCTATCACCTATGGTTTACCAGTTACAATTACATTTCACTTATTTTAAATACAGAAGGGGAAATAACTCGCATATGGAGTCTCCGGATCTCTTCGGTCAAATTTTTTGTCGACATCCTGAGGATGTAACGAGCAATTTGAAAAAAAAAAATTTTTTATTGCTTTCTCTTACGGTTGCGAAGGAGTAGTCTTAACAAGAAAAACAGTGTTCGGGGAGATACAAATTACAAAGAAAAGTGTTCGGTTAAACAGGGTCAGGTTCAAACGCGTATAAACTGTTCGATATCATATACCAAATATTTAACTAAAAGTGACATCTTTTGAAACAAAAATACGGCGCAAGAAAAAAAAAAAATAGGCGGAAGAAAAAAAAAATAATAATCAGAACAAAAGCAAAAGGTTTCCACGGAAAAGTGGAAAGACCTTATAAAAGACACAAAGCACCAAAAAGAGATATCAATCAGTACTTATCCAACGGATTAAATGTAAAGACGTCGTAAACATTTTGAGAAACGCATGACCTTGTGCAATGCCAAAAAAAAATTAAACAGTATCGACATAATTATGTTCACTTGCAATCAGTCATCCTTTTGCAAGTTTTACTATCGTCAATATGATTTGGTTGTCCGTTATACGATATATGTGTCCCAGAGATGTTATATTATAGTAGCCTGAATAATGTTCTTTTATACCTCCTTTTCGACATTATTGAAAACTAAATATCAACGTATATTTCCTTGCCATGCGCAACAAGCCTGATCCCATTAATGTACCAGGATCTCCTTCAACATGCGGAGCACCTTTTCTCATCCTCGGTCTTTTGATGGGTTTGTGATGCTCAGTCTTCAGTTTTCATTGTACAGTCGTGTTTGGGAGACAAGTGTTTGTCTGCTTGATTTTTTTTATTTTGTCCCTGGTGTTGTCTTATTTTTTTTTCACTATTTTTTTTATATTTTTTTTTTATTTACACATTGGTATTTTCTTCGCTTTTTATATAATTGAAAATATAATGGTTTGGTTAGTCTAGTTTCATTTCTTCCGGTTTCAGTTTCCTCCATTTAATCTAAATGTCTTTTAAAGTTTTATCATTTTAAACTCGTTAAAAATGAGCATACACATTGTAATTTTAATCTATAGACATAAGAAGATGTGGTATGAGTGCCAATGAGACAACTCTCCATTCAAGTCACAATGTGTAAAAAGTAAACAATTCTATGTCAAAGTACGGCCTTCAACACGGAGTATTGTTCACACAGAACAACAAGCTATAAAGGGCCCCAAAATGGCAAGTGTAAAACAACTAAAACAGGAAAACCAACGGTCTAATCTATATAAAAAAACGAGAAACGAGAAACACTTAAGAACCACATTTTAAAACATTTAAAGAGAAAATTGTGTTGCACAATGAAAGGTTTCTCAAAGAGTGTTTCTCAATAAAATTGTAAAAAATAAATTAATGAGCAACTGTTAAAAATAATTATTAGTCGAGTAGTCGTATTTTGTAGATATTTGTGTATGATACTAGTGAGACTTGCCACACAGTGTAAATAAACATTACAGTACCTGTTTCCACATATATCCTTTTACAAAAAAGAACATAATACAGGTCGCAAAATACCACGTGATTTCCCATCCTTTACCGGTAACCACCATCCATAATGTTCTAGCGTTCTTATCAAGGCAGGAAGAGATCCAGCACCAGGCACCAGTTCCTTGGGAAAAGTCTTCACCTAGAACTTCCTTACTAACAGCAGCGATAGTTATACTCACTAAAAGATTCATAACAAAAATGTATTATAGATAATTATTAATAACCGGGTACATCAAGAAAAAAGTTAACATCAGTGTCGGCGTGGTGTAAAATGATTTAAAAAAAAAATGAAGCAAAAATAAAAAGGTCAATAATAATCTATGATATGAATGTTCTATTTGAGTCAATTGTTCTCTTCCGGTACATGTAAGCTCGAATTCAATGTTTGTTAAAAAAAAAGAAGCAAAACATAGCATTAAATACTACAGATAGGATTCTACTTCGTCAAAGTATCTTCCCATTACGCCACCTAATTTTTTCAATAATAAAAATGGAAGCCATTGTAGGAATGACGCGCTGTCAATTTTGCTCCAATTTAAAACCGATAAATTTATCCACATAGCAGCATTACGATCCTTATATGACAGTTGTATTTTAAAACACAAATGTAACTTCTAGCTATTAAGCATCATTTAATGTACTTTTAGGCCTTTTGTCAACTGAAAACAATTTTCTGATCGGTTGTCTAATTAAATATTTCGTGAAAGGGCAGACAATATTTTCAGAGATTGAAGATTTATCACCCTAGATACCACACACCTTTTTTTCAAAGTTATGCATTTTTAAGATCCACTTGTAAAGTCTGTCATCAAGTACTTTTAGTTAAAAAAAATGTTATTCAAACACACCTACTCTATTGTTATGACTCATTAGAGCGGGGACAGAGATGCAAATTAATGCTTTAAAAAGGTCAATCTTTTATCTTTCTGTGGAATTTTTTTCGGCGGAATTTATGCTGTTGTACAAAAAAAAATCCACATATATTTGCACCTACCACAATCGACTATTTTTTTAAATTTGCCTTTAATTTAAAAGTTTACAAATATCTCAAGCTCCATACTATAATTTTTAGTAAAAACATGTATATCATGTATATAAGATGCATAAAAACCTAAATTATGCACATACATTAAACTTTTAAAGCTCATAGAAACAGATGTTTACAATTCAAATATACCAACTTGACCATTTTTACCTTCTCTAACAAAGAGTTTCATTTCTTTTGTTTAATTTCAACTGGGTATCGGCCTGACTAGAAGTAGACATAAGTTATAGAATATTTACTGTACAGTTGACACTGTAAGTTCTTTTATTGACAAAGTTTTCAGACTGAGTCATTGAACTTTATGTTCCTGTTATCGTAATATATGTTCTGTTAATGACATGTCTGGTTATTCGAAAAAATCGTAAAGTTTTAATTACATTTGTACATGTATAATGTTTTCGATCGTTCGGGTTTTCACATTTTCTCTTTAAAATTTCCATGTAACGGTATTTTAGTAGCCTTATTTATCAAATTGTCATCTGAAACAAACACGATACGGAGAGTATTCATTTTTGTATGAAATAGAAATTGGATTTAATTTTTGTCATGTTTAAGGAGCAATCCGATTAAAAGAGATCTGAAAAGACATTGTAATCATATGCATTACTGTAATCATCGGTTCATAACTAATTTACTTAATGAAGTTTTGAACTTTATATCTTATCTTTTTCGTACATATATCAAGACAATACTTACAAGGCACCAACCAACATACGGAATGAGTGAATATTTTCATCTTCCATGGCCATGTACCATGTCGGCAGTAAACCAAAGCAACAAATATATGGATACCAATTACTGTATTCCAGAAGAACGACCACATGGATGCTGTTGCACAAACAAAACTCTGAACAACACAAAATAGATCACATCGAGTGTCAAGAGTACAATTCAAAGAAAATTTATTGTTGCCAAAAACAGCTATATATCTTATCGTTCCTCCAAAATTGCCAAAAGCAACAAGTAAATCGGATACAGTCAAATATATCAGCAGTCTTCTGGTTTCATTTTCTGGTCGGAAGCTATCAGTCACACAATATGCAACGAAGATTAAAATTGCACCGAATATAGACAATGTACTTGCAAGTAATGTCAATGCAATGTCCCCAACTTCTATCGGTTTGAATGTAGATGGAAATACCGGTACTGGTCCAATCGTTGATGTTACATTTGCACTAAGCGTTGTTGATGTATAATTTGCAATAGGCGTAGATGATGTTAAGTTCTCCATTGTGTAATCCATGACCAAAGTGTTCAATGCGGAAGTAAAATCGACTCTACAATAAACAAAGAATGTGTGAAGTTAGTATATGATTCATTTACTATTATTTATAGACCATTTAAAAAAAAAACAACAACAACACGTATAATCACAGTCCATGGTATTGTTAAGAATTAACATTGAAATTTATAAAATTGAATGCCTAACTTGATTTTGTAAGGTAGATAAAATAGTTTTATAATGAAAACAAAAATAAAAATATTGGATGATTCACATGCTACTTTCGTTTGTATTAAGTTGAAATAATATTGAAGACATATTCATTATTTTTTAGGTTGGAATATTGTGTGAGAAACTATTATAACTAACCTAATTGGTATATATAATTTGTATTAATTCGTATTAACCTTCCCACACAGCCAAATGGACGCTTCGTTTAAAATCATAAGTTCTACTAAAGTATGGAAGAAGTTCAAGGATAACCATATTTTGAAACCGCCAGTCAAACTTTGGGTAAAGACATACTATGAAAACTGTTTTAATCATTATATAAACTTATTATATTATATGCAATATCAAGGGAGAGGGATAGCCACCAGTGGGTCTTCAACGCAGCGAGAAAATCCCGCACTCGGAGGCAGGCTTCAGCTGGCCCTTACAAATAATATAATACTAGTTCAGCAGAATAGACGCCATACTAAATTCTGAAATATACAAATGAAACCAAAAAACTAAACCGCACACAATACTAACAAAGGCTACAGGTTCCGGACTAAGAACAGGCGCAAAAATACGGCGGGGTTAAACATGTTTTGTGAGACTTCAACCCTCCGTTGTACGTCTGTTTACATTTCTGTGCGTATATACCATTGTCTTTTCATTTTTCTCGGCAACTACAAACCAAAGCGTCTTGATAATTGATACCAACCTTTATATTGGAATCGGTAACGTATCTGCTTCATGTTAACCACATATCTATAGTCTTCACATCGATGCTGATATGTCAGTACGTATGTCAAAAGGTTTTAAAAGATTTCTCTCAGTAGCTTTAAGTCGAGGCTTCAAGTTGATTAGGTATATGGTGTACATTATACAATGTGATACATTTTCAGATCCGTAAGGTGTTTTTAGTTTTCAAGTTTGTCAAAAAATTGTATGTACTGTAAAATGCACGTATGCTTGCATGTATAAAAGAATTGTTGTTGCATACTTATAAAATTTGGTACCAAATTTAATACCATGTGCATATTTACTTTCTATAGTATCTTCTTGAAAATTGTTTGATATTCTTTTCCATTTGCTATAAGTTAATCTGTACTTAAAATTATAAATATATGGATAATCCTTATATAATCCAAAAACTAAGAGTATTGTTTGGATGTTGAAAAATACATGCACTTAATCTGATAAAAATGAATCAAGTAAGATAATTATAAATTGAAGTATTATACAATAATGAATTGAAAAACAAATTTGTCACTTAATACCAAATCTATGTATAATGTTTTAAATTTCGAAGACAGTTTTATTTTTTATTCATTGTTTTCTTTTACAACCAATTCTGTATACTGTAAATCACTTGTCCTGTTTTTCATTATTATTTTATATAAAAATCAATACTGTTTGTATGAGAAGTATTATCTTCTACTAAGCATTTTTTAGACAAATTGCAATGAAATTTCCGAATGTTAAAGTTAGAAATAAATAAATTATTTCAATTGAATTGTGTATAATTTACTTACGATGACAAAAGAACTATAAAAGTACCAAACATGTATGTATAGGATGATACAACACAGAGAACATTTGTCTAATGACCTTGACTAGCCAATATTAAACCATTGTGGTGACGTTAGCCTATTCATTTACCGTGGATTCTTTTTCTAGAATCAACGCTTCCTAAATCTACCGCTGAAATGGACTCACCAAATTATATTCAATTGTTTCCTTTGTGTGTCTAATTTCATTAAGTTTGAATTGGCTAATTTACTGATTTCTGTTCACTAATGGAATTAATTTAAAAACTTACCTTTAATTTTTGTAATTTGTATATGCCTTCACTGGGAATCGAACCCTTCCTTGAAATCTGTTATGAATGACTGACATCAACACATCGACGAAACCTCTCGGCTACCAATGGGTTACAACTTAGATGTCTATTTTATATATATAAATGAACATCGGACACACAGGGGTTGTACCTTTATATATACACAATGGGCAGTCGTATAGTATAAGTTGGTAGCCGCGAGGTTAGCATGCTTAAAGTCAACGAGTTAAACGATAGGGATTTGTCGGTTAAGTTTCGAATCCCTGTATTATCTCTGTTGTCCCAATTCTGTTTTTTTTTCTAATTTTGCATGTTATAGTGGATATTTTTGTAATAATAGCGAGTTTTACCGTTTATCTTTTGGATTGTTATTGGCTATTTCACATGTTTGAAACAAAAATGATTACATTCTATTTGTCAATTTCTGTTGTATAAATATAGTATGATTTCATCTGTTTTACTACATAATTTTACAAATGTTTGTTCGCAAATTCCTATGTGAGAAAGCCGTGATGTGCCTAGAGTGCTAGAAATTTCGGTAACATACTTATTATATATACTTTATATATGCTCTTTAGTCGGGTTGTTGTCTCTTTGACACATTCCCCATTTCCATTCTCAATTTTATTAGAAATAAGTTCGAAAATGTCGTATTTTGTAAAAACAGATAAAATTCAGAAGCCTGATAATATAAAGATCTTTAAAGGTAGAAGTGTTATATTTGTATGTTGTTAACCAATTAATTGTGATCTGAGATTTATCAATGCATCGTTGGACACGATAACATGGTTATTTAAACTCACTTACAATACCTTCTAATTAAGAAAAGGCTTTAATTTTGAAAAGAAATTAACACAATAGTTTAAGTTATAGATACAATGGATAAGCGTAGATTCATGAAAAACAAACCATTCGCCCTCCGGGCTCATGGTTTCTTTTTCAAGAATCCACGCTTATCCATTGTATCTATATTACAGAACAAAAGATCAAACAAGGTTAATTTTTATTCAAATAACAAAACCTTTATGTTTATTTTAGTTCATTTTTTTCGAACACAAATTAATTTCGTCGATCTTCTAAAATCGACATAAGTACTAAAGTCATAGAGTATAGTTGCCTTAATAAGACGTATTTGTGTATCCAAATTAAATTTAGTTTACTCATCATAAATAAAATTATAGAAAATCATTTCGAACGCAAGGCATCGGTACAATATATTAAGAATAGAGTACAGGCAAAATTAATGAATGAGAAAAATGGTATAAAAATTAAAGAATAAATAAATATGGGACCACCCACCCAGACCCTCATAGACTGTTAAATTTGACATCAAAGTAAAAATCTAAATCCATTTAAACATATAATAATGACAAACTAAACAAATATTATCTGTTTGCTAAGTCATTGATTTTCAAAACTTTGTATTGTTGTTATAAAGTAAACCTTCCTTATGATAAATAAGCATAGGTTTACATGTACCATGAACATTGTACTTTTATCTTCCTGTAATGTTTTGGTGTTTTCTAATGAAAGTGTATTTTATGCTTTCGCTTAAACTTACTTCCGGGTTAGGATTATTGACAAATGTTACAATTATTCTTTTTAGCTCAAGATTTTAATTATAGCTGATACACATAATTTGTTTTTGATTGATATCAGTTGCACATACGTTTTATAGAAATTAAGAAGGAACATGTTTCTGTGCCTGAATATTTAACTCATTATGCAATTTGTGTATGCTGTAGCTATTTCGTTAAACACAAGACAAAAAACGAATATCGGTATTGATATCATCAACATTTTAATTAAAATTATATTGCAATGTGTTGAGTGTTTCGGTATAAAATTAAAAGGTCAAGTGATTACGGATGTTAGATGCATATTAACCTAATTCCAGCAAATTGCTCTAGGATCGGTACTTTGTGTCTTTTTGTTATTTTTTGCTTAGTAACCATCTGATGATTAAAGTCCTTTCCAGGTGAAAATTACACTTGCTCTTATGTCGTGTTATTTAATATAGATCACTGTCCAAGGTAAAGGGAGGGGTGATAGCCAACAAACACGTTTAACCCTGCCAAATTCTCTCTGTGACTTCCCAAAGCAAGAACCCTGTAATCTGAGCCTGTAATACGGTGATTGTGGTAGGTTTGTTTTCTTTTACTGTTGTTCTGTGTAAATTATGCCGTCGTCGGCTATCTCGTTTGAATTGTTTCATATGTTGTCATCCCGAAGTCTTGTATACCTTTCTATACGGTACGAGTTGCTCTTTGTTGAATGCCGTCAGGTGACCTATATTTGTTTGCACCCTTGTCGTGTCGTTTTAAATGAATATAGTAGCCTTTTTATAGTTTGTTCTTATGTTGTACTGTTACACCACTGTCCCAGGTTAGGGGGAGGGTTGGGCGACCGCTAACATGTTTAAACCCGCCACATTCTGTATGTGCCTGTTCCAAGTCAGGAGTCAGTGGTTGTCATTTGTTTCTGTGTATCATATTTGTTTTTTCGTTCATTATTTTGTACATGAATTAGGCCATTAGTTTTCTCGTTTGAATTGTTTCACATTTGTCATTTCGGGGCCTTTTATAGCTGACTATGCGGTAATTGTTGAAGGCCGTACGGTGACCTATAGTTGTTAGTTTCTGTGTTATTTGGTCCCTTGTGGAGAGTTGTCTTGTTGGCAATTATACCACATCTTCTTATTTTTATATTTACTAGCATTTGTTTTCAGTAGTACTACTGTCTTTACTCGTTCATATGCATCTGTTTTGTAAGGGCAATGCATTTTCGACAATCAGTTTCCTTTGTCTTGAGTTTTGTCAGTCTTGCGCTACATGTATGTATATTCGACTCTGAATTTTTCTTATCTTGCATTGTATCTACCTTGGATGGTCCTATGTATATCTGGCACCGAGTATTCTTGTCTTGCTTGTCTGTCTTGTATGCACATATGTATATCTTTCACCGAGTTTTCAATTAATTTTTTTTTCTGTATTGCATTGTCCTATGTATGTATATTCAACACTGCATTTCTCATCTCGCATTGTTTGTGCTCTGCAAGGCCCGTTCAATATCTGCTGATGTAGTATTCTTGTAGCTTTTAATGTTCCTATGGATTTTGGGCATACTAGTATTGTTCTTTCTTTGTAATACAAACGCTCCATGATACACTTCCAAACTTAACTCGCATTTACAAAATTAAAGAACCAGGAAATAATTTAAAGTACCTTACGTTAGCAGTAAAGAGAATGGACCACACCTTAAGAACAATAGAATAAAAATGTCTGTTCCGTCCTCTTTTGGTCTGGACACTTTATCTTTATTGGACAAGACCTTTTTTATCAATAGGATGAGCCGCCAATTTCTCTCTTTTATCTTTAAATGATGCGCAGTTTTGTTGTGGCAGTTTTACCCGTCAAAATTAGCGGTTGAACTATTGACTTTTTATTCATTTTTGCAACCAACCATTTTGACACAATAACAGCATTGTATTCATATGTTTACTCGACTTGAAGAACACTGATGAACGGTGACCTACATGTACTTAAGGCCAATTTAGTTATTTTGTGATCTTAGAGTTGTACTTTAATGAAGCATGCATGCGACTTAAGCTTATTATTGAAATATACTGGCTGGTAGTTTTACTTACCTTAAAAACAGACTTTAAGACACGTATTTTGCGACATGTTTAAGAACTTCCTGCTCAAAATTATAACATACCTGTGTAAAAATAATTGATGCTTTAAATTTAAATAACTTCATTGATTCGACAGCGATATTATAAATGGTATTATTTATCAACACTCAAATATTTTACCTTTATTAAGTTATTTCAAAGGTATGACAGACCTATTTATTTAGGTAAGTTCAATTACCCAAGAAGGTATTTCAAAATTCTCTAGATTATAATATCACAGTTTCATGTGATAACTTTAACGTTGTAATAACATAATCAAATCAGAAATCATTTAATATGGCTCAAAACTGCAATTTTGATAGTTTGGGTATCTATCAAATGAAATGTATATTAAGAAAGGCGAGCTTATAACCAAACATGTTATCAGAAGTAAAGGTAAAACCATTATCCTTCAAATACAAGTTTGACGTAATGTTCTGTATGTGCTTCTATATACAAGGTTGCACGGAAACGTCTGTAAAAAGGAGACGGAAGATACCAAAGGGAAATATGTAAAATTTTCTATTATATTACATCACTATTTCTTCAAATGCAATGCAAATAGAGATACTTCTTCTGGCGCAATTAAATTACGATATTTTCACGCAAGATAGCTATTTTTGTTTTATTCTAACTATGAAATGTTGAACACGTCACACAAAAAGATACGTGGTAAAATACTTGATATAGAACGAATATAACAAATGAAATGTTCATGTACAATAAACGTTATTATATATCATTTTGAAAAAGCGTCGTCAGAATTAAACCATTTAAAGGTACAATCTCTAATAATCCTCTAGCTGCAATAGCGTATTTCTAATTTTCGACCATGTTAAAACTATAACTTTGCTCATATTTTACTCGGTTTTTCAATCTGAAAAAGCATTAACCATTTAGGACAGCAATGGCACTGTTCCCAATAAAACTACCACTTACTTGACGTCAGGATTAATGAACTTTCAGCCACATCACCATGTGATTATCCCCTTGGTATATTCTTGGTTTTTTTTTAAATATTCATTCATGTTTATTGCATGTGACAATTTGCATATGCATATTGTACCAATGGAAAAAAATAATTATTTTATATTTATAAGTTTTTTTTTTAATTATTACATTATTTAGAAACATTCGGATTTAAAAAAAAAAATGTAACATATTACCCAATGAACTAGTAACTATCAGACAAGGGGGCCTGCGGACCCCCAAACTGGACAAAGTTTAGAGTGTAACATGTAAAAAGTCTGGATTAACCATAAATGTAGCTCCATAAAGGGGGGCGTCCCCCTCCCCCTAAATCCTCCACTGACTATGTATATTAAATATGAAAGTAATGAGATGTGGTATGATAACATTTAGAAAACCATTGACCAAAGTCCAAATGACGTGGATGTCGGCCTTGACCAATGAAGAATCATCCAAGACAATAAAAATGTGAAAGAATTCAAACGAGACAACCAACGGCTTAATTTATGATAAAACAATAAACGAAAATCAAATATGACAGGCAGCAATTAACGACAAACAATCAACTACAGCCTCCTGACGAGGGACAGACACAAACATAATGTTGCAGGTTAAACATGTTTGTGCTCAGTTCTCCCCACAAACTGGGACAGTGGTGTAACAGTACAACATAATAACACTCTGTGATAATAAGTTACAAATGTCTTGACTAGTTAGAAAAAAACAACTACCCCCTCCCTTTCCAAAAAAAAAACCAACAACAATACAAACAAAGTACTGATCTGAGAGTACTCACAGTTACTGAAAGCTAGAACAAAGCCAATATTAAATAAAGCATGTCCTACCAGCTCAATATCAGGCTTTATACAAAAGTTGATAATGTTGAATTGTACAGTAAATTAGTTTAAATATTCTGTGGATCAACTTTTTGCTAATCGATTTTTGGGAATCTTACTCGACAGCTTGATGTTGACTTGTTGTGTCTTTTGAGTTCGTGCTGGGTAGATCCTAACTGGACGTATACCATACATCTTCTTGTATCATAAACACGTGAAATTTTAATGCTCTTTCATAAACCTTTTGTAGTATTAAAAAACTATTTTTCGATGAAATATTTTAAAATGCACTGTTTTTTAACCTTCACTTCTAACATTATATCTAAATATGGAAATGAAATTATTTTAAAATACTAGAGGTCAAATACTTGAACTTGATATGAATCGTTTCTTTTTGTAGGTAATGAAACGTGATTTCTTGAATGCCGTATTCAATTAAACTTTGATGGCCTAATGCCTAATATACTTTTTGAGTATAATTATTTAACTAAAACCGTCCATTAAACAAGTATGACATGACCTCATACTCCAATAATAGACGATCAACCGATAAATAAATAAAGTAATTGAGGGTAAAAATAATGTAACGCTGACTTGTTCAGCTGTTGCATGGGTTCCGCTTGAATTAATTTAAAACTAACCACAAACTGTTTTTTTCCCCTTAAAATAAGTTGTTGATTACCTGAAAAGTTTAATGTTTTATTTAGTTTTCAGCTTTGTCAAAGGCATGTTGTGAAATAAAAATCAGTTTCAAAACGTATAGTCTGGGGGGAAGGAGGATTTTGGAAATAAATAACTTAGCCTTGATAATAAAAAAAACGAATGGTTTGCTCTTTGGTAGTTTGAAAATAAATAACCTGACTTACAATGTATTGAAAATAAATAACTCGTCAGGTCTTTTAAGCCATTTTATAAATGCTATTCTAAAGTATAAGATGGCACCAGATTCTTCCAAAATTCATCTTTTTTCATATGTTTTTCGGGAAAAACTTCCCAAATCTTTTAATATTACAATGTATAAATATCAATGTACTTGAAAATGGGTTTCATTTAACTTGAAGTATATTGTCTCAGGAACATTTACCTCACTTTTATTACAGGGCCGTAACTGCATTGAGGCAAATGCCTCACGTAGGAAATTTCAAAAACAAAAGCTTGTCTTCATGTCAAATTGTATTTTACGGCGAGTGCCTTGCAAGAAGCAAGTTCTGTTTACCCTCTGACGTAGCCCCCGTTTTTCGAGAAACATTTTCAGTGTTATTTGTCTATTGTTTGCCTTTTATTCATTGATTGTCCTTCTTTATTCTCTTAGTGTTGCATTCCATTTGTAATTTAGTAATTTTGTTTTAATCTTGAGTTTTATTTTATTTAAGGACTGTTTATCTAATTTTACAAACTACTTTAAATTGTATCCCAGTTAGAAACTACATCAAGTTGTAATTGAAATGTGTTATAAAATCTTACTTGACATAGATATATCAATGATAATCAGACCCCTCTTAAGTTAATTTGAAGAAAAAAAAACACATAATTAACAGGTATAAAAGATTTTCTGCAAGCCGAAACACAAAAAAAATAAAAAAAAAAAAAAAAACAGCAGCCACATACTTAACTATGTGACTTACTTTTTTGCTTTATCCTACATATTGGTCCCTAAAAACTAAAAGTCTTACACTGAATCTATATATTTTGCTTTGAGACCAAAATATTGTCGAAAAAATAATTAAAACAGAACTTGCGTTTCAGATTAAGAAATTATAGGGTCTGGGAACCGCGCAGAATGCACGATTTTGCATCATTTTTTCTATAGCTTCTTGGGGCCTTCAGTGACCCCCAAACCCTTCACCGAAAATATGTTTGGCATTACTTTTAAAAGAGGCTAGTTACAGCCCAACTTTAATACCTTGTATGTTTGCAATATATGCAGTTGGGAATTCAAGAGATTCACTTACAGAGGATGATGATTAGTTCTGATTAAAAGGTACATAATGACTTGACTATACATGTATTATTTATTTAAAGGGGCACTAGCTGTCAAATTCATGTTCACCGATTTGACTCAAATTCTCATATCAATTTAGAACAATGTAAAACATTTATCCAAATTATATAAAGTCTAAAATAAACAATTTACAGGGCATGGGCTCGGTAATATGTAACTTCGTTTTGATAAAATTCCTCCAGAGAATATTGATAATATTCTAAATTCTTCAATTACAGAAGACGAAATTCTGGCTGTTGTGAAAAAACTTAAAAACAATAAAGCCTCTGGATATGATAATATTGTAAACGAACATATAAAAAATACTAATCACTTTATGTTGCCTATATATTGCAAACTATTTAATATAATATTAGATTCCGGAAAAATACCAAACTCTTGGTCAGAAGGTATTATCCTACCAATCTTTAAAAATAAAGGTAATATTTATGATCCAAGTTCATATAGACCTATCACATTAGTGTCTTGTTTGGGTAAGACTTTCACTGCTATCATGAATGAAAGACTTAGCAAATTGTCAGATGAGATAGGATTAATAACAGAAGCTCAAACTGGTTTTAGAAAAGGATATAGCACAACTGATAATATTTTCACTTTGTATGCTTTAATTTCTATCTACCAGTCACTTGGCAAAAAATTATACTGTACCTTTGTTGATTTTTCACGGGCATTCGATACAATATCTAGAGCCTCATTATGGATTAAGTTACAAAATGCAGATATAACTGGAAAAATGTTCAAAGTACTGCATAGTTTATATGATAATGTTAAATCTTGTGTAAAAAGCAGTCAAGAATGTTCTGCATTCTTTATGTGCGACATAGGAGTAAGACAAGGAGAGAATCTGTCTCCTTTCCTTTTTGCAATTTATTTAAATGACCTAGATTTCTTTATCCAAAATAATAATTGCAGCTTAGAAAAAGTTGAAAGTTTATGTTTTGATAATCTTGATATTTATGTCAAAATATTTACATTGCTTTATGCTGATGACACCATAATTCTTGCAGAAACACCGGAGTCTTTACAAAACGCTTTGGATATCTTTAAGCCTATTGTACTAAATGGAAGTTGAAAGTGAACTTGAATAAAACGAAAGTTGTAACTTTTTGCAAGAGAAAACCCAAACATAACCCAATTTTTAAACTTTTTGGCAACAATCTAGATATAGAAGATTCCTACTCTTATTTAGGAGTAATTTTTAAGTTACAATGGTTATTTTATTAAAGTCAAGAAAAAATTAGTCGAGCAAGCGCAAAAAGCATTATTCA